ATTAAGAACGTAGCTATAACTTTGTCAGTAATTAGTTGTAACGAACAGGTGGCATCGTACGTCATAGATTGAAATGCAGTTAGTCTAGTATTTGCTAAGGCTGCTAGGCCTTTCACAACTGCGTGCTTAACATTCTTGCCATCGAGCAAAACCGCGCCTGCACTGACAACTCGGTACCGAGTTACCGCCGTGTTTTACTTTACAAACATGTTGATAGTAGTTTGTCAATTGAACAATTTTAATTGATGACGATATTGGTATTCAATAACAACCACCGTGTTGTGAAATTCAACTCTAGAAATAACCAAATAACTGTAATTGCAACTAGAAATGAAATAAGAGCTGATCCCATGTTTACACCAACAGTTTTCTTGAAGTAAATAGAAAGTTGATGGTGCTTGCTTGAAACTGGCATGACTTTACACAATGTTTGATGCAACAATTAAATAAATTGTAGAATTAAGCACATTTTATTATAAACAAGCGATTGTGCGTCAATTTGTTGTATGATCGAAGTATTCTTTAATGGTAACGCATTCATTGGTCGTTGCTGTATACTTTTAGCGTGAAGTCATTGCTGTTGAAAATATCTTCATACAGGATGTTGAGATTCTTTCCCTTTTCTTCACCTGAAACACCTATGACGTAATTTACTGCGTCCGATGTCAATCTGAATTACTTCTAGGAATTAGTTTTTTCGTTCAAAACTGTTAACGAATTTGCGACATTTCGACCAATATCCGGATTTGTGTTTAATGCCATAGACACAATATTGCAGTGTGACTCAGCGTACATTCGACGTTGCCGTCGATTTACCTTGACTTTGATTTAAAACACGTTCTAAAATACTTACTTAAGCCTTACCTAAGAATGCATGCTCTACTGATTTTGAAATATAAACTTATAACGTTTGCATGGTTTACATTGTTAAACGGGACCTAATAACGGCCCTTGAGGAAAACCATAAACGGTTGAAGAACTTTATTAAATTTCATAGATCACAAATAGTGTATCAAGCTGTACAGCCGAGCAATGTACCTGACATATTTTAGAGCATCCCGTATGTCGCGAAACAGAACAATATTATTGTTTACATGATTGTTTTCTTCGTCACCTGAATACGGACGCACCGCGAGCCGCGCGCACGTCAGTCCTTCAACAGTATCGATCAAATCACCACATAATTAGTGTAAAAGCACAAAATGTTCATTATTCAGTGTAGGAGATAGGATGTGAGTGCACGATGCCCGGCGGAGGGAACTTAGTGAGGACCGAAAGGTTCCAAAAAGCGCCGCGTACGCCACGCACTGCGCACGCGCGGTATTACTACACTAGATCTCTGGTGTTGGATTCGCCGATTAGGAAAAGACCCAACACACCTCGGCTAAGGTGAGAAAAGTATCCATATCGAAAAAACTATTAACAAGAATATATATTAATGAAAATTGCAACTATTTAATATTGCGTAATCTTGCGGCTTTATCAGGTTTCAAAAATTGAACTTTTCGCCCGCGGCTTTGCTCGCGTAACAGTAATGTATCCCGGGATTTTGAAGCGGTAGCTCGGCTATAATACAAGTAAAATTTATATCCTATAGCACTCAGGAATATTGTAGCTATCAGTGAAACAATATTTGGAATCCGACCAAGGGTCCTAAAGAATAACCCCTACATATAAACTTACAAGTTTTACTTCTTTATAACATAAGTACAGATAACTATTATTTTGATATGAATATAAGTTAAAGGGGATAGCCAACCTCATAGGTTATATACAAACAATATAACGCCTACATAATAGTATTTAAGCATTCTCTCCGGCTAAGGGCACGCGTTTAAGGATTGCACCATTCTGGAAGATGCCAGCTAAAGGTTACTCTGTACTCTGAAGCTCAGATTGCCATCCGATTTGAAATTTACGAAGATTTAAGTGCACAATGCCAACTTGGCTAGGTTTTCAACTTTATAATGCAATAATAAAGTTGAAAATCAAGTATTTGATGTGAAACGAGCGCAAGCACTTTGGCGCTCATTTTAAAGGTAATACCGCAGCGTTGTTTGATCAAGCACGATGAAGCAAGCGCGACTGTCAAAATATTATTGAATTTTACAACTGTCAAATATTTTTGGTTATAGCAATGTGTTTGTAGCTGTACTAGTCACAGTTTGTGACTAAAATCTTGGTCATGCACTGTAGGTTTATACCTATACCCATACATTTATAACAAGCCTACACCTAACAAAAATTTAAAAGGGGTCCCTCTTTTAGTATTTACCATGAAAACCATGAAAACCTTCCATCCAGACTCTTACTGCCAAAAAACACCCCGTTCGTTCTTTTAAAACCATATTATATACTTACTCTGTATGAAGAATTTTAGTAAAGGACATGTTTTCTCATTGCTAAGAAATTTAGTAGCATCCACGATATTTTCATGGTCAGTATTATCGATTTTACCATTAGTTATTGATGTCCCACCATATATGCCATTGAAAAATGCTTTATTAAAGTACATCCCATGTCCCAAACGTCCATATTCATCACCGAGTATTCTCATTTTTCTTTCTATCTCTTTCTTTTATTGTTTGCTTCAGTTTTATTTTCGTATGAAGTAAGCCTCTGTTTATTTTTACGTACATCAACATGAATAGATATTTATAAATAAACTATTGTTCTAAATACGCCTTCAGTTGGGCTTTTGTCTACCTTTTCTTGTATAGCTCAAATTATGATTTGTCAATCAATACTAGCTTCTAATATCAACATTATCTAGGCTGGTTTCTAAATTGCTGCCATCTTTTCATTAACTATTATGTAGGTCTTCTTAGGACGTATTCGAAATATGTAGTTTAATGTCTTCAAAATAGTTTATATTTTGGTTTCAACTACTTTAAAGAGTTTAACAGGAATTCTTTCATTGAAACAGCTTAAGATTGTGCTTTCTTATATCTTAGCTGAATTTCCACCAAACCCGATACAAGTCCTTGCACTATTTGCTGTAGAAAATTATGGCGTGCCATTTTAGTTTCGATGACGTATTCGGATTTGACCTTGTTACTTCCGAAAAGGAAAAGATCGTGAAAAACCTGGACCTTCAATTTCTAATTATCAGTTTAAATCTGCCGTCCCAAAGAAGCTCCATGTGAGAAGAGGCTTTTGCTCAGCAGTTGGTTATGTGTTGTTGTAATGTGACTTAATAAACAGCTTCAAACTAAACCAACTTAAATCGATGCTTAAACGATTGCAGAACATCACTTGAAGATACGAAGCTCCACAAAGGTTAGGTAAGCTTTTCTTAAGTGAAGTGAACCCCGACCTCTAACTAGTACAATTATCGCTGAGCAATGCGCATAGGTAGAAGTAGTAAAAGGTGGCTAACCTCGACAAATCGCGTATTGGGAGTAAGGACAAACCCGTTGTTATGAAGTCACTATTGATCGTGATCATTATTTTGATACCCACAACGACATACAAAATCTTCTTGCTTAGTTTGCAGATTATCTGAATTAAACTTTATTATTGTTAGATTTAGATACATTTTTTCCTGTAATGTCCTGTTTACAGTTAGGTTGCTTTTAGATAAATGCTTCAGATCCTTAGAAAATTTTATTTGTTGCGTTGTCTTAAATATTTATAGTGCTTCAAAAGCAAATGTGTCGGTTATAGATTTGCTTCTTATAATGTGACAACAATGTGACATAACATAAAGCGTCGAAAAGAAACTAGGTACCTTCTTTTGATCAGGTGTCGTAACGTTAGCAATAAACGACAATTATTGCCAAAATTGCAAAATTGCCAAATTAAGTCATCATTGTAGTCTAGATTGCCTAGAAAGCCTGCTTCAAACAAAGATCGACTTTGCTTAAGGAATTTTGATTAAGCGAACCCGCTATAATCAGAAAGATAACGGTACAACACAAACCACTCATTTTGAAACTGAAATTAGAATTGAATTTGATTCTTTATCACGGAAGTAGCATTTTGATGGTGGAGGTCTAAGATCATATCACAAAGCTGTAATGGTGGTTATTGCAAAAATGTAACGTATACTATAAGATTACAAGGTTGATATTGCCAAAAATATACTTGGGATAGTACTTACAAATAAGGTTTTATGAAATAAATCTGATCTTGCAGTATTATATTTCTGTGTCTCTAAAAGGTTACCTGCCAGTAACAAAACCACATCAAAAGTTCACGTAGAACTTAACATTGTGCAAAAAGTAAATAAATTAAAACTTTATCATCCTGAGTAGCATTTTCTTATTATAAATTGCACGTTATTACGATCTAATGAAGCTTCAACTTCGCAAAGCTCAAATTTATCTCCGACACTCCGCTACGCTGTATTTCGTTGCAGCCGGCAACCTAACCGGCTAGACCCATGATTATTATTGTACCCTACACTCGACCGTGACCGAATGGTTCCACATTATTCGTAACATTCTAATTTAGCACGGCAAACGTTTTTATTAGGACTACAACCACTTCCGCACTCATTTGAATAACTTGTGCAATGTGATCTAAATGTCACATCATGTTGATGACAAGTTATGTATCGATTTGTCTACGTCTGCCCATATTATTGGCACCTACCTTCTTGAACTTTAATGCCCTTAAAACTTCCCAATTGTTCATCTGATTACAAATGATGACAGCACAATTTCCTATCTCCGAATGTGACCTTTCACACGATTACCTAATGCAAACATCATAGATCACGAAACCACCGCACATGACATGACTAGCAATTTAAAAATGTCAGCTCCTATGATAAAGTACAAAGAATCAGTTAAGTACCTACTGAATAACAATAATAATTGTGATAAAATAATAATAGCTAATAAGTACTCAGCGTAATTACGAAGACATTAGCGTAACGCGAACATAATATCCGCATTAATGACCCACATATGGAAATCACTACTTAAAGTGGAAATTGTATAATCACACAAGGTACAGATAGACTCGCTTGACTAACCACATTAATTTGTTTGCAGATGTCAGTCCGCTCCGAAAGTAATGGATAGCCACAGTAGATCGGCCTCGCCGCGCGAGCCCATGAGGCCGCAGCATCGACCCCCCTCCCCGCCGTCATCACCAGGCGCCTTCGACAACAGGGCCTACCAACACGACGAATCAGACCCCAACCACAATGACTCCTTCGCCTCAAACGGTCCACAGCAAAACGGACACACGAAAGAACCAAATGGTGAAACCAAAACCTTGGAAGCAGTCAACTTAGAACTGATCAACCTCACCCCCAAGAATGGTAACGCGAAGAAGAAGGATGTCGAGGTGGACATGAACGCCACTAACCCATACGACGAGTACTTCGTGCCGGTCAACGAACATAGGAAGTACATGAGGTCAGTGGATGTTGTTATTTATTTATTAAACCTAATACAAAAATCCGTATGTGTGAATACGGGCTTTTCTCTCAATCCACCTATAGGTAATGCAAGAATGAAAGTAGTAAAAGATTAAGCTATTGTTTAAGAAACAATCAATTCAAATATTTGTTTGAAAAATACTTAGTACGAACAAACAATCGACATGCGACATGAAGTACTATTACGAATAATACGCGCTGCTGATGTCATTAACGTTCGACAAAATGCATACGTTTGGCAAAACTAATTGCAATTCGAATTTCGAATAATAACATCTTAAAACTCGGATAGAATTATGTGCGCCGAACTAAAATTACCGTTACTCGATTCAGATCTAGCGTATGGTGTTGGCACGATAAACAATTTAAAATATTCAAATTTTACTAAGTTCTTGAGGCTTTGATGGCGTCTTTAAAGACAATCTTGTTATTTACAAGATTGTCTTAAGGGCAACTAAGTATACAAATTGAGTATGAACCCTGAAAAATGGATCATTTTAAAATTTTGTGTCAGAAAATTTTAATAAAAAAAATACGAATTAGTATTTTACATAATGTAATATTGGAATACGTAAGAATCAACTCACATTCGCTCTCTTTCTCTTGATTAATTTTGGAAAAGGTAGCAACAAAAATCTAAAATAAGGTCGAGTCTTTCTCTGAGACTTAATTTTACGAGCTGAAATAAGGCTCTTTTTTATAATAGGTTCAATGTTCTCGATAATATGCTCCTATATCTCATAATGTGCTGTACATAAAATGTTTTTGTAAAGCATATAATGTCACGGCTAATGACTGTGTGCTCTTTATTGTGTAATACTAATATAATTGAAGCTGTGCAGACCTTGGTATTACGTTAACTTCAGTATAAATTGCTTGATGATAGCGTAAAATTGTTATTTAAGAGTTATTATGAAAGAATTTCGGTTTATAGCCCTTATTATTATTTAAGAACCTCGAAGAATATCGATCAAAATATTTGACGAAGTTTTAAAGTATTTGTAGTTTAGGTCTAGTATTATTATTTTCTATAGAGGGGCAAACGAGCATACGGATTACCTGATGGTAAGAAATCGGCTCCGGTAGCGTCCATCCAGCATGGGAGGGGGTGGGAGAAGGGAAAGGGAGTCTCTGGCAACCTCCCTCACACGGCGTGACGATATCCTCACATGCGATGTCCAATAAAAGTAGGTCATGCAATTTATAGTAGCTAGCTATAACATATTATGACAGGAATATTCACTAATCAAAATAACAAAATCATTTACAATAATGTGCAATCCAAGTTACCCAACTCAGGCTAATTAGGTATGTATACCTACTTACTTATTTTTATCTTAAAGCATTGCACAAAATCTTGGTTTAAGCATTTCGAGCTACTTAAATAAATATCAAGATATGATTTCGTCAATCTGTAAACATAGTTTGTAACAGTGAAACATTGAAATAACTCAAGGTTGACACGCCTACACTAGCTCGTTAATTATCTTAATTATTTATCGGTAGATAGTTAGTAGAGTTAGTTATACTTGCAACTTTCTCATATAAAGGTTTTCGGTCCATCTGGTGCCTTTTGGAATATTTGCTTTGAAATATTTTTCTACTTGCATTTGGATCCACCATATGCTCAGCAATGATATACACTGAGCTATTTCATTAAACTTAATTGATGTATCAAAATTAAAACTTTTCAATTTGCACCTTGTTCTGTCATGTCTCGTCAACATCCTTAACGAAATTATTATTAAAAAAAAACATAGAAAGCCAAAACCTAACCTCTTTTTCGATCTAATGTGGCACAGCCATGCTCTGGCACGAATGGGTCGGCTTGACCAGCGTGATACCACAGCCTCACAGAAAACAGACGTGAAACAACCACAACGTTGTGTTTCGCTGTATGAATGAGGTTACTGGAGGCCCAATCGGCCCCCACACCAACGCACTCGTAACTCCTCCGTTGTTGTGGGTGTCATCAGATAATCCGTCTGCCCGTTTGCCATTATATCTCATGAAAAAAAGAAAAATATTCTTTAAATAAGCACGTACGTCTTTCAACCAGAATTCGCCATCAGTTTAACACAAACCTATTATCTGAGGACATAGAACTCATCTCCATGGAGCGTGTCTCTCATTGGTCACAGTTTCCGCATCACTACCAACTCCTGAATTGTCTTAAATCTTAGTCCTCGAGGTACACGACCGGACTGTGAAATTGTAATTAGCATTTCCTTGTCTAATAATACTTATAAAAACAATTCATTAAGAAATTGTTCTATTTTCGCACGTAGGTACAGCCGGCAGCATAGACAAACGCTTTTGTGAAGACAAAATTTGACGTGTCGTATCGCTAATCTTAATGATTTTGATTTTTTGTGACTAAAGAAATGTAATTTTAAATTGATAAGCTAATTTTAGAAACACTTTAACAGTAAAGGATTCACAGACGGGCCCCTAAAGGGCTGATGTTCAGCCGGGGTTGCATGGTAAGCGCAATGAGGCACCGCGACCTCGGCCCAGAGCACGAAAAGGAACAGGGGGGTTTGTAGTCAGTAAAAGTCTGACACTCCCTCCCGCCCGGCCCTGGGCGGGAGAAGTCATTTAACGATTTTGCCCTCACAAAAAAAAACAGTAAAGGATTAATAAGGGAGATTTTTGTGCTAACTTTTTTATTTAACTTCATTGCTTCTACCTCCACCTGAGACTTATAAAACAACTGAGTGTTATGTTTAATAGATAGAGCTTCTGCCTACACCTTTGAACCAGTAGAAGGCGTAATACATATATCACACAAACTTTCTCATAAAGACCTTCACAAACACAAATAACATTTCCCAATTCAATAATCAAACAAAACTAATAATTTAATTACCGACTTCATTTTAGTAAAATAATTACAAAAACGTCAAAATGAAGTAATTCATCATTACAACAGCCAATGAACCGATCGATTATGGCTTCGTGCCGTGTCGATGCGCTGCGTTTGCGCAACTCAGCAAAAAGGTTCACACACCGCGACCTCTTTGGAATGTAAACATAAACTAAATGACAAACACAATTAAATTTATGGAATGCCATTTGAAATTGTTGTCTATGATAGTTTATTATTACAATATGTACCTACATTTATTATTAAATAATAATGTAGGTCTACATTGTGTAAAAGAATTTAGTATGCAGGTAGGAATGTCAAAGATTGTAATAATTGTATGATTCAACGGACTAGTTATCGGCTGAAGAGTAAGAAATTCTTATAAACCAGACGTAGGTACCTACCGACATCATTCAAAAATCAGTATCGTTTATTTATTTGAGTAGTACGGTACATAAAAAGTATAAAAACTAAAACCCAACCACGACAAAAACAAACGCTGGAGAAGTATAAAACAAGATTTTCAGAATACTGAAAGGCGTAGTCACACGTTACATTTACTTACCATACCTGTACTTTGATAACGTGTCCCTCTTTTGCTTTCCCGTAGTCGAATAAAAACGAATAAAACTGAGTACCCAATTCATAGGTACCGAATATACTTAATATAGGCATATAAGTAAAAGAAAAAAAAATAACATATAATGTACCCATACAATATTGTTGCTGTCACTATGTCACTATCATATCACTGATCTCTCTCGCAAAACTTTAAGCATCCCGACAAAAATAGTCTTATTACACCACATTATAAACGGTTTACCTAGATATTATTTAGATTAAGTACTTAACTTTGATCCTAGCGTCAACAAAGAACATCACTATCTGCATGATAAAGTACAAGGACCTGAGTTTGTATATCTTCATCTTTGTTTTCTTAGACTTCACTATCCTTACTTGCTTGTTTTTCTTCCTTTCTATCTAGTCTGATATATAGGTCTGAAGATAGCCTAGGTTATACCTAATACAAGAAAATCATTAAACGATTTATTCCACCCTAGGCGGGGAGAGAGAGACTGTCAGACTCTTACTGGCTAAAAACCACCCTGTTCCTTCTCCTGCTCCTGGTCGGGCCGCGGTCTCTTATCGTGATTATATCCCCATGTTAAAGGCTATTTTATAGCTATATATTACTTTGACTTCACGGGCGTAAAGTTTAGTAACCTTCAAACCGAAAGAAAGCCTTAGCGATTACCATGAAGACGTGAACTTTTGTGTGATAGCAAGATATTGTAAAGGACTAAGGGAAACCAAATTGTGCAGTATTCGAACAAAAACATGAAATCATAAAACAGTCGCAATACAAAAATAAATGAAGTTCGAGTACCATCCGCTTTAAAATAATTTTAGAAGTTTGATGCTGTTGACATTATGCAACCGAAGCAATGACTCAAAACATCACTAAATGAAACACTGTATTGATTTACTTTGACTAAACCATTCTCTAACAATCTGACACCAATAAATACTGAGATTTTTTCGTAATATTACTGTAATACTAACTACAATAGTTATTAAGTTTATAATCAAAATTAAAACGCTTTAATGGCTACTAAGAACAGCAAATAATTAGATATCTAATTACATAATTACGTTGAGTTATATTTTTATCTACCACCGAGAATATTTAGTAATAAGGAAAATTAACGTGTAAATTTTTAATAAGAAGTTTCGCGTTTAATTTCGTTGTTAAAAATTCTCAGCGTTCGACAGTCAAGGTTTGGAGGCAAATGCAGTAATGGACCGAGGCCTCGACCCGGAGTAGGAAAAGAAACGGGGTGGTTTTTACTCAGTAAGAGGCTGACACTCTTTACTTTAGCCCTCAACCAAGGCGAAACAAGTCAACCGATAATATTCACCCTCAAAAAAAGGAAGAGGTATGACAAAAATTCCAGTTTGGCATCTGAAAATAACACCAGTTATCGCTCTATGGTTACCCTAAATAAACGCAAAAAAAATATTTCTAAGAAGACTTTACTTTTTGCCCCAATCAGATTTGAAAATAGAATATCCGTTGCCGCGTGGCGTCAGAACAGATTTTAATATTG